TGTTCTGTGAATAGATTATGGGTATGGCAGTTGACAAAAAACCAAGCCAAAAATATCCACCAGTTACGCAACACGTATCATAATGCTAACTTTGCATGTTGTCGGTTAATACATCCAGGATCAATCAAATCATTGTAATGCTAACTGTTAGCATCCATAGCGCTTATGTAGTTAACAAGAGTCTTTTAACTTGCAATGAAGAGAAGAGAGCATATATTCAGAAAGTCCTTAAGACATACACTTTTAGTAAAGGGGAGCTATAGCTATTAAATATGGGGGGCGTGTGGCGCAGTGGGTTAGTGCGTTGGTGTTCGGATCAGGGGAGCACAGGTTCAAACCCCATTGCAGTCAGCATGTCGTTGTGTCCCTGGGCAAGACACTTCACCCCAAATTGCTCCTGTGGGGATTGTCCACAGTATTGAGTATGTAAGTCGCTTTGGATAAAAGCGTCTAACAAGTGACATGTAATGTAAAATATCTATTGACAGAAAAAGACCCTTCATTTCGAAACCCCATTAGTCCAATGTGTATCCCTTTTTTTTGTGATTGATGCAGCCTTTACCCTCTTGAGTTATGTATGGTTGGTTGTTGGGGTACACAGTTATTTCTTTGTCCATCGAAGTTGCATAAAGTAACAGTCTCAGTAGCATTATTAGTAAAGGAGAGCTAGCTTTAAAAACATCTATTGATAAGAAAATATCCATTATTTGGAAACCCCATTGTCCCATTTGACTGAAAGCCTACATTTTTTGTAATATATGATGTAAAAAAAAATCTAAATTCATAACTTTCTGTTAATAAAGACTTACTGTAAATAATTTATCTACAAGAAAAACCGACTCACAATCCTCCAGTAAAAGCAGGACTTGAGTCCAACTTTCTTTTAAATGTTATTTTGCTGAATTCTCTTGATTTTTCTTAACAAGTCTTCCTCAGTTATTGTGTTTATTTGGAGTCAAACTACAGGTCCATAAATTACATCTCCACCCTAGTCTCTTCATAAAACACTTATTGTTGGCCTGTTTTGCAACGAGTCACGCATTAACACGTGTTTCTGCTGTTGGGTGCGTGGTGTGTTTTGAAGCTTACATTTACTACAGCTGCCATTTTACCCAAACAAATGGTCTTTTCATTAGAAACAGAAACTCTGTGATCACACGGCTTGAACGTCCGTTGTAAATAATTTGCTGCTGATAGATAGATAGATAGATCAAAGTAAGAATGTGTTGAGCGAATTGGTATGGCACTTCTTATTCCTTCATTATTCTCACTTCTTTATGTAACTTCTACCTCTTCTGGGTATGGGGGAGTACTGGGAATAGCTGAGTGTGTGTTCATGTGTGTGTTTTCAGTGGGCGGGCATCAATGGGGGCAGCCCCGGATCTCCAAATCGGAAAAGGGAGTAAAATGTAGTCTTTGTGATGTCTCTATCACTCGAGTTCCCAACACTGCTCTTTGTGTGATGATCTGTCCAATGAGCGCAGAACAACAGCACCTTATCAGGGCTTTTAGGTCTCTGTTTTCACACACACACATACACATACACATACACATACACATACACATACACATATACATACACACGCACCCACGCGCTCATTGCCAGGTAAAGAACAACAAGCTCACACACACTATTTTATGAACATATAGGTTCACAAGAAAGTGAAAACCATAAAGCAGATTCAGTAGAAGTAAAGTGTTTCAATAAACACTATATGCTCTTGTTAGATGTTTAGTAAACATTGTAATCCTGCTAGTAATCCCCAATTGTTTGAAATGTAACAGCAATCTGATATCTTTTATGTAAATGTGAGGGGATACAGTTACTAATTGTCTTATCTTGATTACATTATCCCTTTACATGTAATCCATTACTCCCCAAGCGTGGTGGGTTTGTAGAGAAGAAGCCTAACTTTGTGATTCTGTGTCATGACTTTAATTTATTCGTGCAGCTTTAAACACACACACACACACACACACACACACACACACACACACACACACACACACATACACACATACATACACAAGCATGAAGACAAGGTGCAGTAGAGACACAAAATACATATATGAACCTAGAAAATGTCCTCAAAATAATAACAGAATAATGATGTACTTCTGCAGACTTACTAGAGGGATAAGGCTGGATATTTATCTGAGTATCAGTGTATTGGAAACAACATTCAGATCGTGGGACAGATTCTTTTGTCTTTTTCAATTAAAATGTAGGATTTAAGAACAAGGTTTTGGCCCTGACACACACACATATGCATACGCATACGCATACGCATACACATACACATACACATACACATACACATACACATACACACACATACACATACACACACACATACATGCTCATTGCCAGGTAAAGAACAACAACAAAAAAGAGGGAACTAAGTGTATTCTTGATGAGCTTATTCTTTGGAGTGCGCACTATATGGCTCGGTACCCTTGACATCAAAAGGCCAAGAGAACAGAGGAGGAGAGGGGAAGGAAGGCAGAAGAGGGCGAAGGCTTTTGTGTCTCTGAGTCCTAAGAGCTCATTCACTCACTAATGAGGCCAAGTCCGCAACGCAAGGACGCTTTTTGTTCGAGGACTGTGTGTGTGTGTGTGTGTGTGTGTGTGTGTGTGTGTGTGTGTGTGTGTGTGTGTGTGTGTGTGTGTGTGTGTGTGTGTGTGTGTGTGTGTGTGTGTGTGTGTGTGTGGTGTGTGTGTGTGTGTGTGTGTGTGTGTGTGTGTGTGATGTGTGTGTGTGTGTGTGTGTGTGTGTGTGTTGTGTGTGTGTGTGTGTGTGTGTGTGGTGTGTGTGTGTGTGTGTGTGTGTGTGTGTGTGTGTGTGTGTGTGTGTGTGTGTGTGTGTGTGTGTGTGTGTGTGTGTGTGTGTGTGTGTGTGGGTGTGTGTGTGTGTGTGTGTGTGTGTGTGTGTGTGTGTGTGTGTGTGTGTGTGTGTGTGTGTGTGTGGTGTGTGTGTGTGTGTGTGTGTGTGTGTGTGTTGTGTGTGTGTGTGTGTGTGTGTGTGTGTGTGTGTGTGTGTGTGTGTGTGTGTGTGTGTGTGTGTGTGGGTGGACGTCTTTATCGACCTGTCCAATAAAACATTAAAAAAGACCCAAATCAATGCATTTCAATCTCAATCTTTATTTATTTATATAGCACATTTAAAACAACCTCAGTTGACCAAAGTGCTGTACAGGGAACCAATACAATATATAATAACATGATAGGAGTAAAACAATAACTAGAAACATATAGAAATGTCGTGGTCAACTCGTATTAAAAGCCAGGCGAAGAGGTTCTTTGATATGTCCGCTGTCGATGTGATCGTAAAAGTATTCTGTTAAAGGCTCTGTTTATTTTTATATTTTATTCATGTTATTGTAGATATGCAGTTTGTGTTTGGTTGTCGTCTACAGTCCTCTCTTCCCGAACATTTGATTGGATGATGGCATTTAGGGTTGGATGAAATACTTGCCGTTCAAGATTGAAATGCTGCCGAGACACATTTCAAGCCAGGTACATTTTAATAGTATACTTTTTTGAAGAGTAAGATTCCAGTTGGATTGTTTCTGATTTGTGTAATCCAAGCATTTCCAGTAACTCCAGAGCGTTGGGGAAACTTTTGTCAGAGATTGATGCATCCCTTTTTCTTGAATTCACATGTGTGTGTATCTCATTAAGTATACTTCTTCAATACATACACATAGTTAATTCTTTCATAAACAGTTTGCTCTACCACTTGTTGCAAATGATTACCCCCAATGAACACATTTTGGTAGGATTGCAAATTTCAGCTGTTTGTCTCGTAAAACTCAGTGTTACACAAGATGAATCCCTCCTCCCCTTTTCTATACAGTGAGTTCCACCACTATAACTCGTGCTTACCGTTAATGCCAGGAGATTAGTCTTGGCACTTTTGGAGGTCAACATTTGGTTAAAGTCAGGGCTGCTGAATGTTACAGAAAACCAGAGCAGTATGCGTCAGTTGTATCTTGTGCAACAATGTCCAATTAAAGGTGGGGTAGGTCATTTTGGAGAAACCAGCTCGAGATCGCTAGAATTTGAAAATACACAGCCGGAAAAAATCTGCCACTTCCTCACAGAGCCCCTCCTCCAACACACACAAACGCGCACATGACCAATGAGGGCACGAGATAAGTTTGTGCACATATGGAAGGCTGACAGGCAGGTAGGCCATCCAGTTATTTTAGCCGGGCCGGCTAAAATGATTGGTCGTGCTTTTTACAGTACTACGGCTTCCACAGATTACATTTTTTTTATGGATTTTTTGTCAAAGCACTTAAGATATTCATTGCTATCGGGATGTTAAGAGCATTCCATGGAATATAACAAAAAGTGTATCTCGAGCCAGTTTCTCAAACTTACCTACCCCACCTTTAAAGTACAAAAGGAATTGAAAAAGTTACTTTTTTTTGGTTTTCTGTCCAAAAAGTCTAAGAGCAATTTATCAGAAATGAACTTTTGTGACTACCTTATTTAACTTGCAACTGTTTTTGGTTTCTTTACTGACTCGAAAAGAAGGAAACTAGTCTAAGGACCAGAAAACACATTCATAAACACCTTTTTCTTGCATGAGTGATTTAATAATCAGGGTATTGTACATACAGCTATAGGATAACATTTGATATCTCATTATAATACTACACAAACCGTATTAACAATTGAAGTCTGATTCTATCTCACTCTACATGTTGCCTTATTTCCTGGCCTGACAATCCACGTCTTTGTCCTTTTTTATGACCTGTTACCTGTCCAGGAAATCATCATATGAAAGGATAAAAGCTGACTTTGTTCGAAAGTGTCAGGATCTGAAAAATGCTCTTATCAGTTTGACATCACACCTGTTGGGTCTGTATCGTGCAGACCGACGGTTACCTGAAACAGCACGCTAATTATGCAAATGAAGCCCCTGAACAGCAGAGTTTGAAGAGGCTCTTTGTACTTCCCCTCTTGAGAGGTTAGAGGTAACGGGAGAGTACAAAAAGAGAGGCGTTAGTGGAGAGGGAGAGCAGTCACTATGGCTTGTGTCAGCAGATCTGTTCCAGTGAGGGAGCGCTGCTGGGTCTCCTCATTCCTCCCAACCAGGTCAGTGCAGAAAACGACACGTCTAAATACGTTAATATGTGATTTTTACAGTCACATTGTGTTACTTGATTGCCTTTTTTTGTGCAATTTATTGAGTTAATTCACCCAGATCCAAAAAAAACGTTTCTTTTTTTATTCGTTTTACTTGGATAAGAACAGACTATTCTTGCTATTCTTGTGCCAGAGTTACAAAATGTACGGAGCAATGCCAGGAGCAACTTTTTGTTGGGTTTTATCCACAAGTTTTCCTCGCAGATTACAATTTATACACTGAAAAAACTGAAACTTTGACCCTAAATAAACATATTATGTCAACAGATTTCCCATATCTGTATTCGGTTAGTTGGAAGCAATAATATGAATTTGATATAACATAATTAGGTTGATCTTAACATTATTAAGTGTCACCGTGTCTCAGTACTGTACGATGCCAGTCACCTCTGTGGAAACATTGGTACAACTGCCTTTTTTAATTTATATTTGAGTGTCTTTTAAAAATGGACCTAGAGTCTCTTCAAATAAAGCTGATGATGATTATTGCTTTCAACTAACCTAATACAGCTATGTAAAACTTGTTGACATAACACGTTTAAACAAAGTCAATCTTTTTCAGTTTTTTTCCAAGTAAGAAGTTCTTGTACACCAGAATGAACAGATCCGTAGAATCAAAAACTCTTCAGTGTTAAAACGACCAGGAATCCTTCAGACTGTCCATCACTTTTATGAACTACCAGTCATCCAACTGAATATGTGAGTTCATTTCAGAGTCATAAGAATCCACCTACTGTAGCTCAGCTGTTAAACACAAATTCATCAGGGGTTAGAAGAACTTGTTTTTCACTTGGTTTCATTGAAATGAATTGCCTTTTTTTGTTTGTTCTTCTTTACTATACTTCTGTTGCATTGCTCACTTTTCTCTGAATCCAAGAAAAGCCACATTGATCACCAGGTGTCAATCAAAGGGAAAAGATGCAAACGAGCGCCCCGATTAGTCACAGATTTGAGATGCGATAGGGTGTCATTGGTGTTTGTTAGCTGGAGGCCTTTAGAAAGGTTAGCATGATTTAGGATGAGCCGCGGCCTGTGGGCAGACAGACACGCACTGGATTGCTTTATCATCTCTAATCAAATACTGCTAGGTGGGAAACATTTCCCTCAACATTTGTTTATATATTAGTTAATAAATGGCAGGTTGGAAACTTCCACGTTAGAGCGCTGTCACGAAAGATGGTCGATGAATGAAGACAGTTAGAAAATGTGTCTGTGAAAAAGAGAAGGGAAATCTACATTGTTAGAGAGACAACAAATAAAACACTTCAGATGAAGGGCATACACACAATATTTATAATGGAAATGTGAAGTGTTTACAAGGTACACATTCATTCTAAAAATGATTACAATTTACAAGGTACACATTCGGGTAGAAAAAGTAGCAGCAGCAGTATTTATAGAATAAATTAAGTGTAATATGTGGTGTGGTAGATGCTAGGTAACAGAAGCAAAGTTATATATTGCACAGTTACTTACACATTCTTGTTCCAGTATTTCAGTTGTCAAACTAAGAAGGCAGCCAGTAATAGGTAGATAAGGCACATAAGTAGTATTGTGCAACAAAGGTGTCGTAATCTGGTTTGTTTTGTTTTAAAATGTGCAAAAACCAGCATGTAGGATATGTAACTTCAGCTTGTTCTGTTTTGACTGAGACATGATTTGTGGGTTTTCTGCCTTTGATACGTTCCTGCTGGGAAACGTCTGCCGTTACAGCTGTCAGTCTCACGGTTGACAATGAGAATGTCTTTATTTGTTTATCGCCATGTAAACCTGTTTTTATGGCTTCACTTCATCCTGAGACAGAGTCCTGGCACTCTCTCCTTGTCTATTGTGTGAACTCTCTGCTATTCTGCCTCAGGCACAGACATGGACGATATAAACCGACCAAGCTGCTTCTGTCTGGAGGCGGGAGGGAAGGGGGGGAGAAAAGAAAACAGTGAGAGAATGAAGGAGGTAACAAAGGAAGAGAAGAAAAGAAAAGGGAGAACAACAGTAGGGATTTGCATGGCCTATCCGCCCGGGGGGAGATTTGACGTGTTACAACTTGTTGGGTAACTGAAGGTTTTGTGTGAAGTGATTCTTGTCTCGTGGGAAGTGTAAGGTTTCAGTGTTTTGGATTTTTATCTCTGTTCCCTCCGTCCACTGTCATCCTCCATCGCACCCCCAATTCTTATTTTCTGCTGAGACAGGAGCATTTACTTCCCAGCAAGACAAGTGTAGCCATTACTGTGGTCAGCAGAGGTGGGAAGTAGTGGAGTACAAATAGAAGAAGAAGAAGAAGAAGAAGAAGATGGACCTTTATTAATCCCCCGAGGGGGAAATTCAGTTTCCACTCTGTCGTACACACACATGCGTTTTTATACAGGTAATACAGTACACACAGTACACACTTTTTACATCATGCACATACATATACAAATACACACACAGTTATATGCACACATGCACATGCAGTTGAGAGGTCAGAGCGGAGGCAGCCAGTCTAGCCGGCGCCAGTTTCTGTACTTAAGTACATTTTTCTGGTATCAGTACTTTACTCCACTAATTATTATTCTGACGACTTTTACTTTCTGCTTCTTACATGTTGAACACAAATACCTGTACTTTCTACTTCTTACATTTTCCAAACAGGCTGGTTCCTTTAGTTTGAATGTGTGTTTGGTGGCGTGATCATTATTATTTAGAGTCATTGCGTGCCTATTGATTTGAACACGATCCGTGTATCCATCATTTCCTGGTCTTCTCTAAAGAAGAGGGACCAATGAAAACGTTGTCATGTTGCCGTTGTTCAGCATGGAAACATTCATTAGCTAACAATGACATTATTGTTCTATTAATATAAAGGGAGGTCAGGTACTCTTTAAAACAGCTGCTAGTTATGGGTACTTTTTACTGAAGTACATTTCAAAGCCCTCTTTACTTTTACTTGAGTAAAGAAGTTTAGTCAGTACTTCTACTTTTACCAGAGTATTTTTAAACACGAGTATCTGTACTTCTACTTGAGTAAAGGATGTGTGTACTTTTGCCATCTCTGGTGGTCAGTCTGACAGAGAGACACAATTGGCTTCTACTTAAGGAGTTACTTCAAACCAATCACAAAACAAATTTCCTTTTTGCCTGTCTTTTATCCAGAGTCATTTGTTGGATTTTATCCATAAGATTGTGTAGCATTTATTAACAATCCGACGTCCATCACATCAAATCCAAGTTCATTCAGAGTCATAGGAATTCCCCTTTTGTAGTTCAGCTGTTAAACAACAAACATTATGGGGTTAGAAGAATTGACATATTTGGTTTCTTTTTGTTTCCTTAAAACTAATATCAAACAGGCACATGTGGAAACCCTTTTCTTGCATCAAACAATGACAAAGTCTTGAAGCAAATAAGATGGTTTAGATTTGTCTTTTTAAGACTGCATTCCTTAATATTTAGGACAAAACCAAAGAGACCAAATGCACTGGGTTAGGGTTGCAATATTTGTACCAGTCACCTATTGTCTAACAATGATTAAGCTGTTTTTTTTGGCTTAACATTTGCTTGTAAACTGGCTACTGATGAAACAATCCAGTCATAGACGTTATCTCTCAACTCCATGTCCATTCTCGTGCAAAGTTTCACATTTAAAGGAAGTCTAGAGTCTTGATATCTGCAAGTGGCTTGTAACACCAGAACCCCATACATATTGGCATTGCCCCCAGAAACAAAACCATCATACATTGCGTTTCTAATCTACAACTTGAACCACTATTGATATAAAAATACAGATCAGTGAAACTAAGTATTTTTCGAAAGAAAAGTGTCTGGAAACAAAAGAAAGCTTGACAGTTCGCCAACATGACCCAGTGACTCCATGAACAAGTGTTTGTTGCAAGTGCTTTAATTGACCTTACAATGTTTGCCTCCTTATCATGTTGTATAGTTTCTATTTTGTATACTATTCTTATTTTAGTTTGATAGACCTCTCATTATGAGTTTTGTTTACTGTGCTTGTAATGCTGCAAACAACTCAAGTATTAAATCGATAGAGTTGTATCTTTTTCTTCTTTATTGGATAGCTAGATGGGAAATGCAAAGCATGGGAAAGAGAGGATGACATGCTGGAGTCAGTTTCATATATCCGTGTGTTTATCTCATCTAATTTGTTTATAGTGTACTTTCGTTTGTTTTTTATGGAATCATAGTGATCAGCAACCTGTTATAAAACAAACAGCGCTTGATTCCCCAAACACACTTATTTGCATCGGATGCAAAGATGTTTCATGTTCGGGCGCTCTTTCCAACCAACAGTAGTTTTTGTTCACTTTGTTTAACTTTGTTTAGCTCCACAGCTGCTCTGAGTTCTGTTTTATTGAGATTTGTTTTCTGGCGGCATGTGGTGGGCGCCTCTGAACGCTAACAACGCTGTAGGTGGTCGGAAAACAGGCCACAATCAGATAACCTCGAAATAAGGCAATGCTATTCAAATCTTGCAACACACACACTCTACATAAATACACATGGTCAGGTTCCACATGGGTGCAGTCAGCTGCATGTACGGTTAAGTGTGTGTGTGTAAGTAGATGAAATGAACTGATGTGAAGGAACACAATGCCCTAGACTGGTTCCCATTGTTCTTAGCTAAGACGTTAAAAGCATTGTTCAAAAAACAAACTATTGTGCTCGTAAAACACTCTTGACACATTCCTTGCTGTCAGCAGCTCTGTTGATCGCTGAGATTCAGTGCATACCTCTGCAGTGAGACACACACACACACACACACACACACACACACACACACACACACACACACACACACACACACACAGTCTGAGCAGAGGCGTGTGAAAGCCACCTGTGGCGGCTCTACAGTGGAGGGGAGACCCAGGAATAACTCGCCGTGGGACAAAATCTTGCCTCTAACGGACCCCCCCGCGTCCCATTTCGCACAATCAACCCCTCGCTGATACCGA